AATACATTTTGAGAAAAATCAGATAAATTCACCTACTTTCATAATACTACTAAACAAGTCAGGAATGTAGCTGGCATTGGATTATTCCCTAGGACTGTGGCAGTTTTTATGTTCTGCATTTAGTATACACGATTTCTCAATGCTAGTTAGCATTTTAGCAGAGCAATGTTCCTTCAGACTCTGCTTTTTAGATTTCCTGTGCTGAAATGGTTCACATCAGCTTTATTCCTTAGGCCTTTGAATCATGTACAACAATAGTATTACTTTATAATGACAGATGAAGAACAGTATATACAATCTTGTAATACAGGGTGAATAAGCACTGTATTTTACTGCCTGTTTACACAGGTTTATTACTTCAGTAACTATGTTTCCAAATAAAAGGCAGTGTTTTTATTAATTTAGGAATAGCACACATTTTTCTAAAGGCATTTTTGGGAGCAGAAAAATCTTTGAACTCATGAATGTTAACAAAATCAGTGGAGTAATTTTAGACATAGAAATATGTGCACAAAAGCATGACTGAGGCATCTATCACCTCTGCAGCTCCGGCACAGCCCACACGATCCCAGGAAGCTGAACCCTGAAATGCCCCCTGAACGTCCTGGGTGCCCTTCTGTGCCAAACCCAGAGCTGCCCCAATGCAGCCGAAAGCCTCTTTGGCTCCTCTAAACAGGAAAAAATAAATGGTGCAAAGACCCTTGCCCCTAACTGCTCAGTCTCTGTGGTGTTTTCCCTGCTAAAGCTGCAGACCTTCTCAAACTGTTGTTATCCCCTTGCAATATGTTCAGTTTAGGGGGGCCCTGTTCCCCGTGCGGGGTTGATGGGGCTGCGGTGCAGAGCTTGTAGCCACCAGTGACCTTTGCTGTGGTAAACTGGGCCCTGTGCCCATAGCCGAGGGAAGGCATCAAGTGCCTCGCTGATGCACACATGCAGTTCCCTCCTGAGCTGGAAACCTGCTCTTCATACATCTGTTGTATTGTAAAGTAAAATGCACCTTACAGTCAGTGGCATTCTCCAGAATATCTTGCTTCAGTGTTTTTCCTCTTTACTTCCTTTGAGCTTCTTTATTTTTTCTGAGCAACGGCAGGAGAACTGCGCGGCACCTGAACTGAACCTTTTGCATATCAAAGTTTGTGGCTCCTTCCTAGGCCACTTGCTTTTTAACTACTGCAGGCTTTGTGCATCATGGAACTCAACTGGAAGACTACAGATCTGCAGGCAGTGTGTCAGTTTATTAGGGAATTCCAGTTACTGGTAAATAATTCAGCTTTAGTGTTATTGTGTGCCTGAGGAATGAATTATAAAATGTTTAAAAATACCTTATTCATTATAATACATTAGAGTGTGTAGTGCAGAAATCTATAAAGATGAAATGGAAACATAATATTGTTAATTTTGTATTTTATCAGTAGAGAATTAAAAATAGTTTACACTGAAATCTCGCTGTAGGGCCTACTTCTTTTCATTCCTTCTACCCCATCCTAATTTGTCTAGGCAGTCTTAGAAAAGGACCTACTTTTCACAGCATCACAGAAGGGTTGAGGTTGGAAGGGACCTCTAGAGATCATCTAGTCCAACCCCCCTGCTCCAACAGGGACACCTAGAGCACGTGGCATTTTCCTTTAAATCACATTCTTACCAGGGAGCTCACAAAATGTTAAATTGTGGCAGCAGCATATTATTTTATATCTAGCGCAAATAAATCCTAACGTATGTTAGATGTGAATATTTTGGCTTTCAGACAACTGGGAATGGATAGATTGGCAGCAGTGTGGTTTTAATGTGCCACTGCCTCAACTGTAGTAATGCTCATTTAATCAGAATTGACCTAGTGCGGTGGTTATGAAATAAGAAGAAAATTCTGGTTCCATTTCTAATTGCAGAAGTTGCATAGGATATTGGGGTTTTCATGTGCTGATCCTCAGTGCTGATTCCATCACTGCTGAGAAAACCACCTTGAGCTAATGTCACCCTGCACCTGTGTCATTGGAATTGCTTCTGTCCCCAACAAGGAGCACATTGACGCGTCAGCAGCTGGTAACGGATGCTGTGACCGTCTCACTTTGTGGATTTTGCATATTTCTGTACTGTCAGAAGCAGTGATTCTTAATGGGCATGTTCTTAAAGGGCAGAATTTGGCTGTAGGTGAAAACACCAGAACTGCAGCCTTGGCAGAAGGCCCCAGCACGTGCTGGAGTTGAGTATAACAGACGATGGAATAACCAAGCAAGAAAGCTCCCTGAGAGCTCTGCAGCTCTGTGGAGAAGGCTCCACGCTGCCCTGCCTGCTCCCAACAGCAGCTCTGCCTGGTGTGGAAAGCTGACCCTGAGCAGTCAGTGCACTTAGAGCCCCGGGGCTGTGAAAGGAACCGTGGACACGGCTGTCCAGCATTGCCTGGTAATGTGGCAGGGATAAATGGGAAGGAGGAGGAGACGCAAACTCATTTCAAACACAATACTATAGTGCAGCAAAACAAAAATCTTTAAGGATTGTGATTTCGTTTTCTTGTGAGTATAATGAAAGGCTGGTAAAATGCATGTGAAATTAATTGAGATTAACATAAAATGATGTATAATGTTAACCTTTACTTATCTTCACAAAAATGATTTAAACTAGTGTTTTTCAGTCTTCTTGACTGTGGAAGTTTGAAAATGTTCCAGAGCATTTAACCTTCTCCTGCTTCGTTTACTGTTCCTAGTCCCTGCTTGTAGCTACCTAATAGTGCAATGGCCCTCAGGGCTGTTACGGATCACCGTTTCCTCATCCGTCTGCGCATAAAACGCATTCTGCCTCAACCCTGCCTGCTTGGCCCAGGTGAGACAGGCATTTCTTCCAAACTGGAATCTAGGCAGATACGGTGTGACAGCCTATTCTTGTGCTTCCCTCACCTATGCCCTTCCTAATCTTTGCAGCCTTCTTCAGGAGATTTAAAACTCAAGGGAATTAGAAGAACTTATGATATTTTATTTTCTTTCTTCACTGTATCCTGGCACAGGATCAATTGGAGCAATTCCCATGTTTTTTAACTGCTGTTCTGGCTCTCTGCCAATTTAGACTGTTCTTAGTGTCCTTTAATTTATTTATATATTTATTTTTTTTCAGTAAAATCTTCCATTAAGAAGAAAACTCCACTAATCTAGGGAGTTGACCAACATAAGGATTTTTATATGGTGTAGCTGACTATTACTTTGTCCTTATGCTTGTTGAAATTATATAATAACTGCTATTTGTAAATGTGTTTGAAGCCTGTGTTTGAAAATGTTTTACTTTAACAGTACGAATTTTGTCTGGTTTTCCAGGTTTCATTTTATTCTTGTTTAATTGGTAACATTTACTTCAAAATCCCCTAAGATTATTTGACTTTTTCCTGATAGATGAGCAAAACCTGAAAATACTAGTCTGGCTGATTGGCATTTTCATAAGCTATTATGGTGAAGAAGAGCATTTTTACCTTGCTCAGTTCTGATATATTTCTGATTGATAGAACAGTTAGAATCGTATTACAGTGACATCACTGTTTGTAATAAACTGGGGCAGAAAACACCTGGTTGCAATTACCAGATTTTGTTTTCCTGTTTTGAAAACAAAGCAAGAAAATGTTATTAACTTATCTGGGGAATAGGCAGAAACTTGTTATTTCTAGTGAGTAATTACTTCAAATGCTTCGGACGTAAGGAAAGTCAAACTGGCATCATTCTCCCTATATCATTTGGGGAGATGATACCACTTTGGGAAGAGCTATAAATTCTGGTATTATTTCCTTAAGCTGTCCCTTTGGTGAATGTCAATATAACTTGAAGCGCATCACGCTCTCTAGGCTGGTTTTACAGGGTTGTGAAGTGGGAGTTTTTTGTACGTACTTTCATTGGGGATGCTTCTATGTTCCAGACGTTTAGCAGATCCTTGAGGCACCTAAATGAGAAATAAAATTTAAGTATAACAATGTCAAGATCAGTCTTGCAAATGGATGCTGTGAAATTCAAAGAAACTTTTTAGTAGGAGCAGAATGACTTCAGAAAGCTTGAACTTTGTCCACGGTCTCTTGTGGCTCTGTATGTATGCAGCTCCTAGTATAGCGGTAATGTGGGAATATGGGAATAAATACATGTATTTTAAATATAGAAATGGAAAATAAGTATAGAATAAAGGGATCACAACCTAATTTCTTAGTCATGCATAGATTAAAACACACTGTCCATTCCATGCATCTGCAGCCCGGGTTTTATCCCGTTTCCAGTGAGACACCTGGAGCCCTGTGGGAGCTTGAATCTTAGCTCCTCGAGAGCAAACAAATTAGATTCTCACCTTGGCTTCTCTCGTTGTGCTTCAAAATCTAGTCTGTATGTACCTGGCAACACCTTTTTGTCTTTGCCTGGGAAACTATTTACCATGGCTATTTAAAGCAGGCCCCAATCATTCTTTTTTTTTTTTTTTTTTTTTTTTTTTGCTGATAATTAATCATAAACCGAAAAAGCCCTGTCCTTCATTTCCTCTAATATAGCTTCATGTTTTAAAGGCTAACTTCACCTAAGAGTATCTTGAAAGAGCCCAAGATCTGTTAAATAAAATCTCAAGGAAGTGATTGAAATAAAATTCTTGTAGAACAGAAGCAGCTCTCTCCCTTGGAGTGACAGCCCTTTGCCAATACTCCTTCTTTTTCCTCTCCCTTTCCCTTCCCCTCCCTCCCAAAAGCTGGAAGGTCATATTACAAAGCAGACAATTCCACATCTTAAAGTGTTACTCTTACCTGATTGTGGTTGACTTGCAAGTGATACAGTGAACAAATTCGTTTGATAGTGACAACAAGTGAAAGCAGTAATTACTCGTATGGCGGTAGCGCTACAATGCTCTGCCGGGAAGGGAGAGCCGTTACTGTAGTAACCGCACACCAAACACAACACGCAGCCCCGAGCCCGGAGCCGGAGCTCGGCGCGGGAGCAGGCCAGAGGCAGCTCCTGCCCGCGGTGCGGAGCCGCGCGGCGGGGCAGAGCGGGAGCATGAGCGGGAGCACGGCCGGGAGCCGCCGTCAGGAGCCGCCGTCCTGCCCGGCCGCTCTCCTGCGTTTGAACCCGCACGTCTGGCTGCCTCGTCACGGCCTCCGAGCTGCAGCTGTTGGCGTTATGGCCTCTGCCTGGTTCTCATGCTCAGGTATCTCCTCCAAGAAGGGCACGTGCTGACTTACTGCTACTTGTTCGGGATTTAAGGGCAATATTTCCTTTTTTTTTTTTTTTCTATCATCCTACCAACACTGTCTTATTTTTAACTTATGACAATAGAACTTAGAAGGGGGAGGAGAAGCCAATTTGCCTTTCTTGTATAATTCAGTATTGTAATAAAGTTATTGTATATGTTGAAAGCATATTGCCAACATTATTCTTACCTGCTGCTCACTTTTCTTGTGAAATGCTGAAGTATTGCTTGTATATGGAGGCAATGGGAGCTGAATTCATTTTCTCAGTTTCTCTAATGCTCCCTATAAGAAAGCTAGATAGCTCCAAAGGAAATTTGCTTATTCTTGCCAGGGTAATATTACAAATTTCTTATCCATCAGCTTTGTTCATCATAATTCCACTGTTCCTTTTTAATTTAATAAAATCTCCCTGTTAGACATTTGCAGCTAATGAAAACAAGGTGTTTGGTACTAAATCAAAAACACATCCAAGAACCTGCCAGTACAAACTGGTCTTTTCTTTCTGTTTATTAAGAGTTTGAAAAAATGAAAAATGGTGAGAATAGATTTCATAAAATTAATTAAGCATCTTGTCTTAAGACTATTTAACCCATTTCAGTAATTACAGAGATTCTTATTGAAGAAACAAGTTTAAAGATGAACTTATTCCTCTTCTACACCATTGACACTGAAGAACTGCACTCTGTGTTCTGCAGACTTGACACTAATAGACTGTAATTAAAAATGAAATATTTTCTTAAACTGTACTTTCTGGCTCTTGGCTTCCATAGAAATGCAATTGCAATGCAACAGAAGATGAGCTGGCTAACACAGCTGTAAGACAAAAGTATTTTAGCTCTCCCAGGGCCAGACATAAGCTACAGTCCTGCACAGATGGGTGGACACACTGTACGGCCCGGGCTGCACA